TGTGTGCCTTGGCAGTCTAGCAGTTACCGGATTTTATTGTTTATTATTTAAAACTGTGCCATAATCTATTATGCAGCTGCAAAACCAGATGACTGTTTTACTTTTTGCAGGTGCTGCTGCATAAAGCTGCAGGTGCATTTTGAGGGTTGTTCAACACAGTTATTGTATGCACTTTCCATCTGTCCAGGCTCCTACAGAACCTACTGAATGCTCCCAATCCTGCCCTGACAAACATGTTACTAGTAAACCTCAACAAAACTTTGATTTGGAGGAATTTGAGTAATTGCATGTCCAGAAACATAATGTGATTTATTTTTGTGCTGTTTGCCCATGGTGATCTTCATTACATCTCGGTCTTCTTCATATTAGGGTTATTACTCTCAGTATTGATTGAAAGCAATTAGTGAAGTGGTACAATTGTCCTTTGAAGCAAACATCTCTACAGCAATAACAGCATGACCTGAGTGTTTTTATTGCTCCCTATAGCTCAAGTCACAAAGATTATGTGTTATATGGCGATGGCCGAATGACGTCAGACATTCTGATAATTAGATATGTCATGTATCCATCTCCTCTGGCACAAACACCATGCAGTGAAAGAAAATACTGAGGTGTTGGAGCTGGCACACCCCTATCACTTGCCGGAACATAAAGGCAAAGGTCTTCAGGCCAAATATAAGCAATGCTGAAAAACAGTACCAAAACGTTCCCACTGTGACTGATAATGTGTTACAATAAGATATGGCACATGTAATGACACTATACAATCCTGCACAGACTATTTTACAGTGAATACATTTTCATGTTTTTGAGCCCATACATTCTTTGCTCTTCTCTGTTGATAAAGGTGTGATTGGGATTTATTGTTTAAACTGTGTGTTATTATTAATGAATGATTCACTTGAACCTGTCTGACAGTGTGAGGCAGTGAGACAGGGCGCTGAGGTAAGAGCTTCAGGAGTCTGCTGCTCTGAACTCAGGATTTGAAGACTGCATTTCAATAAAGCCTACATGATACAGATCAGCATTACACAGAGGTGGGAGAAGTACTCACATCTTGTACTTAAGTAAAAGTAGAAGTACCAGAGTGTAGGATTACTCTTTTACAAGTAAGAGTACTGCATTTGAAATGTTGCTCAAGTAAAAGTAGAAAAGTATTATCATCAAAATATAGTGAAAGCATTGACAGTGGGTAAAAGTAGTCATTGTGCAAGATGGTCCATTTCAGAATAATATATATCAATCAGTTAGTTGTAATGACTTTGTATACTGCAGGGTAGCTTGTGAATTTACTCCAGGTGGAACTAAAGTCTGATTTAACATTTGATTATATTTCACATCATTCATCCACATCTGTGAAGTAACTAAAGGTATTAAATACTTGTAGTATAAAGTACAAGTTCCTCAACATTGTACTTAAGTACAGTGCTTGAGTACATGTACTTTACACCACTGGCATTACAGTGCATTTTAATATTAACCAAACCGTTACAAACCATAAATTCAAATTCAAAGTTAAATTAAAAAAGAAAAACACGTTCTGGTCTGTTAACCCAACAGGGAAACAGAAAGACAAAAGGAATAGATAATACCTCATCAGAGGTGGACAGAAGACTGAGAGCTCTATGTTTTAATACAATTATTTCCCTCAACACATATTGTGTATCATTTAAAGACATTTAAAACACATTTGTTGAAAACGTCTTCTCTCTCAAAAACCTCAGCAAAATAGATTTTAGTGCCGTGTCTGTGGTAAGTGCTTTAAAATGACTTCTATGACAGCTGTAAGGGGGTTTACAGTTACTTTGCTAGATTGAAGCTTGGTGACAAATCTCTGTGCTGAAAACCTGTTATCACAGTGTTGTCAGTATTGTACTGTACTCTAAAAACAGCTGTTTATTTGCTGATTTGTGTGATATTTATCCTCCAATGCAAGAGAGAGAACACAACTGCCAAGGCTTCATCAAGGGGTTTTATTGTCACACTTGTACACAGATCTGAATACAAAGTTAAATGTAGTCGCTGCATAACCCATCCTGGTATAGGGGGGTGTTTCAAGGACTCAGTCCCCAGAGGCATTGAGCTTGTTGAGTCAGTACTGAGACGTCAATCAGTGACAGTTCTCCAACAGCTAATATTTAGGGCCACACACAGCACTTGCAGCCAATGTCGAAGACAGTCCCAGCACCACAGTTACTCAGGTAGGTTCTGCCTCCTGCACATGTGTAGTATGCGCTTCTGTCAGCAGGGTGGGCGTAGATGCCGTCAGCCTTGTCTTTGCAGAAGCCGCGTCCTGGGATGGGGACGGTGGTCGTGGTGGATGGAGCGGGGGTGGTTCCACTGGGTTTCCCGGTTGTTGTGAAGGTCACAACAGGTTTGGAGGTCGTGGCTGATGCTGTGGTAGTGACAGCAGGTCTCTTGGTTGTGGTTGTTGGACGTGGAGGCATCTCTGTGTGAGGTGTAAGAAAGAGAAATACATAATTTTAACATTTGTAAGAAAATGACTTGTATGAAGGGTTGGTTTGACAAGCTAGGAACATATTGGCTAAAAATAAAAAGTTGAGTATCATAACTTACCATTATCAATGAGTTTGCGTAGATGGTACAGCAGAGGATGGCTTCCCTCTCCACAGAACTCTCCTTTAAAGTCATCCAAATCCAAAGCCCATACAAAGGCACCACCAAACTTCATGTCCCTCATGTACTGGACCTGTGGATCAACAAGAAGACAAGTCAACCAAAATATTCAGTAGGAATCAATTTATCTGTTGAATTTCACCATGCGGACAACCCTAAATCTGTAATCCCTGGTTCATACCTTGGTCTCATAGCTCTCCCTGTTGTCGAATCCCACCCACTCATTGTTCTTGGTGGCATAGGGAACTTTCTGGTCATCAATCCACTGAATGGTGGTGCCCTTCAGGAAGGTGCAGACCTGAAAGATCAAAATGCCATTGGATTATTCCATGTTCCATCCATTCTACCTGTGTTAGCATGCAGTATTTCTTATTGTTCAGACCGGACCTCAAAGTAGGCCCAGAATCCAGCTTCACGTGTGTATGGTCCGGCTGATGCAGGGCCAATAGCTGGAGCTCCAGCACCAGTGCTTGATGTTGTCAGACGGAAGGTACGACCGTAGGCAGCGAATCCCATCATCAGCTTCTCCACTGGGGTGCCGTTGTCTCTCCAGTACTTCATGGCATAGTCCTGAAATAGAAAGGGAGGGAAGATAACAGACACAATGCTTGAAATTCTTCATGCAGACAACCGACAGTGATTGTCTCATATCAAAAGGTTATCCAAGGGATTTTTTATTGGACTTCCATAAAGTTGATAGTACATTTCCGGTCCACTTATCCTTTTAGTCGACTCAAAAGTGCAGGATCATACATTTTATTAACTTCATGATATTTTTGTACATTCTACTCTCCAAGATGAGATACGCGAATGACAACGGTATGAAATCATCCTACTAATATTGTCAGAGGGCCTCAGTTGTGGCTTAGTTGTATCTATTAGCAGACATTCATGTGTACAATTGGTTTGGTTACACTAAAAGAGTATTGCATTGCAATTTGATGTATGTATTCCTGCATCGTGTGTGCCATATAATGTCTTCCACTAATGCCGAGAAAACTGCATCTCTTACAGTGTTGAAGTAGATGAGGTCCCCACTGTCGTGGGAGCCGCGGTACAGGGGGCTGTTGTGTCCAGTGGATCGCTCCCAAGCTCCGTGGAAGTCATAGGTCATCACATTGATGAAGTCCAGATGCCTGAAAATCATATGAAATACTGATAAAGTCCCCATCCTACTATCTTTAAATAATTTTAAATAATAAAACTGAAAAAATTAAATAATAACAATCTGCAGTACTTGGCAATTTCAGCGATCTCATATCCAGCATCGATGGTTCCCTTCCCGGCAGACACTGCAGCAGTCACCATGAGCTGAGGGTTGCCGGTGGCCTTGGCCTCAGCAGCGTACGCTTTAACAAGTTCCTGAAAAAAACCCATTAATAAGACGCTCATAAATATATGATGTTGTCAATGGGATATGTGCGTTAGAGCCAGTTATGGTAAAAATATGTCGACAAACAGATTTGAACCGTTAAATTAGATTATCCTACACTTAGTAAAAGAAAGAATGACGTTCAAGGCTGTTCATTTTATTGGAGTTTTGCGTATTTTGTTTTGATTTGTTTGACTATAGAAAAGGCCTATTTTCTTTGTTGAATGTGTGTGAAAATATTATTATTTTATTTTAATTAAATACAAGTCGCACATCATCAGCACATCATCAGCACATCATCGGAAGGCAAATAAATAATCAAAATTGTAAACAAAATATATAAATTAATAAGATAACACATTAGAGATGTCTGTTCAAGGCTTCAAGTGGCTTGATGGAAACAGAGGAAGGAACCTGCGACCATATGTTTCCAATGGCTCAAAACACTAGGACCCACCTTGCAGAGCAGACTGAACCTCATCTTGTCCACTGGAGGACTTCCACGAGATCCAGGGTACTCCCAGTCCAGATCCAGACCATCAAAGCCTCCAGTCCTCAGGAATTTGATAGAAGACTGGATGAACGTCTGACGGTTGGCTGGAGTGGACACCATGATGGAGAACCTGAGGAAATGTGTTCAACATTAAATAAACTTTAGACCATTGTCCTAAAAAACTGAACAACTATTGATCAGAAGTATAGCATATCTCTTGTCAACGTTCTTTTCTTGATCTATTGTATATTTTCATTTCCTGATGAAGAAGCAATGAAGGAACACTTACTGAGTTGAGCCAAAGTTCCATCCACCAACAGCCAGTAGGGTCTTCAGACCAGGGTTCCTTTAACACATAGATGCAGAATACTTGAGTTGACAAAGGCCTGTTTATCATAGAGAAATGGGACATTATAATTTTAACAAATGCAGATTGAAGTACAAGTTGCAGGAACTAGGGATTTTATATCATATAGTGGAAAGACAAACTCTTACTTGCTCTTCAGGCCATTGAAGGTCTTGTACAGGACATCGTCATTCCATTCATAGGTAGTCAACTCGTTTTTGTTGTTGATGATTGAGAAAGCATAAATCAGATGGGTGCACAGGAAGGGATCCACATTTTGGGGCAGGTATTTCCCAGTCCCGGGTCTGTACTGGGACCAGTTAGTGAAATAGCATACCATCTTGGAGGCAGTTGCTGGAGATCAGTAAAAGCAAATCTGTGGTCAGCCTTGCAAGAAATTATTAATATTTTCTGACATTTCAGACACATAATACCAATGAGACCAATATCACGAGAGTGACTTACCCAGTTGGCACATCAGCAGGCACACGCCTATAGAGAGGTGACCATGAAACAATGATAGGCTTAATGTATCATATTATTAAGAACCATGATAATGTGAAGAACTGAGACCTGATGATTGATTACCTGCTAAAAGAGTGAGCCTCGTCATTTTGATCTCAAACTCTGATTTCCTTTTTTTCTAGAATAAATAGATCAAACAGATTGGTCAAAGAAAAGACAGAGACAAACAATAGTAACATAAAATTACTCCATATTATTTTTTAAACCTGACAATAACTATAATGTACTCAAAGCATATTGCCTATAAACCCAAATGAGTTGGTGATTATCTCCACCAATGTAAACGAGCATTGTTTTTCTGGAATATCTAAATCTTTGTGTAGTTTTGAATCAGTCAAAATCAATATCAATATTTCCTTTATACATTTGTTGAATTCCATTCATAAAAGCAGGAATAACATACACTGAAAAAACAGAATCATTGACTTTAATTAAATGTATTATGTCAACAAATGTCACATTAGGTTAGATGAAAGCAATAATATTAAGTTGAACCTTCCTAATTAATTCTTTAATTCAACTAAATATTATTTATTTCAACTAACCTAATACAGTTATGTGAATTCTGTTAACATAATACATTTATTTATAGTCAACGTTTTAGAGATTACACCTGTTCATTGTTCTTGAAACTCTCAGTTTATCATATAATCGTTTTAAGATTATTATCTTGGTTTCAAATGAAGTGTGCAGACTATCAGCACATTTCCCCTGTCACAGCCTAACCACTTGTTCCAGGTATAACCATGTGTAGTGGATACAAGTATCACCTTTACAATTTAGCCCTAAACACAACTGCAGCATTTCCCCAAAATTACCAGAAGCACTGTTTTTACATGTGTCTACCATGTCTGTTTTGAGGATGAGAATCTGAGAATCTAAGATTACCTGTATAAATAAAGGTTATATAAAATACAATTGATAAATAGTTCCATTCTCTGGCAACTGAAACATACTGAAGCTGAATCTCTACAGTCTGCAAGGCAGCAGATAGGAAGGCAAGCTTACCTTGGGATCTCAGAAGCATGGATATGTGTGAGTTGAGGATCTTATATATATCCAGCTGTTCAGGTGCATATATCAGACCTTCGCCATGAAAGGGAGGTGGGCAATTATGGTATATGTTCAGTATACACAAAGGATAAGATAAGTATGAAGTATGGTGATAAGCTGTACTATATGGCATGGAGACATTGCATCCAAGAGGCATATTTCTGTACAAGATATGACTCAATTTCGGTCATGACATGGAAGCTTTTTAATAGGAAAATTCCAAGCAGCAAAACCTAAAACTCAACCCTCCAGTCGTGTTCCTTTAAATGCAGTTAATATACAAAGAATATACACTGAAAATGTGCCTATCAGCATGGAGACTGACGGCAATTAAAGCATATGGATGTGTTCAAATATCTAACGGATACAGAATCATACGACTGGGCTAGTACATGAAATCAGTGCAATCTAGGTCAGAAAAAAGATGTTCAGCAGACTACATCTTGATGTGTTATTCACTAAGTTGTAGGCCCATCCTACCAAAACAATAGCTGAAGAAAACACTTTGTTGAACAGGGGGGACTGCAGTCATGGTATATTTATCACTATGAGCAACTCTATTTAAACAGTTATTGGCCCATTGTTCATAATGCAACTTTAAAGGGAATCATCTTATTGGCTCTCTTTCCTGAGGTGAGATTAGCAGAACCAAATCATCTTCATGTCTGTGCATTAACAGCAGGCCCGGTTCTACGGGGATGCATAAGCATGCACCCTCAGTTGATTCGTTCTGCACCCTCATTTAAAAAATGAGAAGTAAAAAAAAAAAAAAATCGAATGTGAAAAATATTACATATATAATAATAATAACAATAATTGTAGTAATAATAATAATAATAATAAGAAAAAAATGGTTAAAACAACCAGCCCTTATCGCCAGCAGCAACACTGCATCTACTGCAGGTAATAACAGTTCAGATCATGGGGACATTACGTTACCCGCGGCCACTTTCGTGGACACTAACGCCCGACTCGCCGGCTTTGCCCCCCTCGCCAACGGAGGCGAAGCAGCCGCAGCCGTCTTCGTTGCCCCAAACACCGCCACCCCTCAGCGGCCCGCAAGTGCCAGAGGACCTCAACAAAACAGAGCCTGCCCAGGTATATTTAAGAAAGTACCCAACTCGCCTGTACAGTGGGGTAAGGCGCTCATTTTGCAGCTCATGGTTTCAAAACAGAGATTGGCTGGAATATTCATGTGAAAAAGATGCCATCTTCTGCTATGCATGTAGACATTTCGGTTCAAGTACGTCAGGTGCCTTCACCACAACTGTACCAGAGTACCAACCGCTGTCTCCTGGTACTCATCGAGTAACTCACTCACTAACAATGAAATACTATAACAGTAAAACAAGAATAAAGTTTAAAAGGGGAGTGATTTGTAAAATATCCATAAAGAAAAAGTAAATCTGTTTACAGTTCTGTTTCATATGGGTGTTGAGAGATGTNTTAGATAAGCCAGCCCTTTATTAGTATATAAGTGCTTTGTTAATAATTCTATCGCTCGAAGTGGATTCGAAAGAGATGCGTTTTCAGTCTGCGCCGGAAGATGTGTAAGCTTTCTGCTGTCCTGATTTCAATGGGGAGCTCATTCCACCATTTTGGAGCCAGGATAGCAAACCCACAAGTTTTTGCTGATGGGAACTTGGGTCCCCCTCGCAGTGCGGTGCAGCGAGTCGTTTGGCTGATGCAGAGCGGAGTGCACGTGCTGGGGTGTACAGTTTAACCATCTTCCGGCGCAGACTGAAAACGCATCTCTTTCGAATCCACTTCGAGCGATAGAATTATTAACAAAGCACTTATATACTAATAAAGGGCTGGCTTATCTAAAGCCAGTTGAGTAGCACTTGAAATGTTTGGCTCAATGAAACCTGATGTACTATATGATTCTGTTTTCTTCAAGGTTGTATCTTATTGGTCGAACGCACTTATTGTAAGTCGCTTTGGATAAAAGCGTCAGCTAAATGCAATGTAATGTTATGTAGACTGCACACTGCCTTTGTGTGTAGGGAGTCTGATCTCCTGAAAATGATGTTTCAGTTCAACATGACTGCATGGTCACTTACATTTAGATGGTGTTCTGCCTGATCGCTGTTTTGATGTACAAATAAATAATAAAGCGGTTAAAACCTGAGCCTCAAACTTATATTTCATAGTGTTGTAAATCTTTTAGATGGAACAGATAACATATATTCTGACACTTCAAAAATATACATTTCCTAAAAGGTGGAGTCCTGTTGTGACTGTACTAATAAAGTGAAGCCATCCTAATTTCCCCTTACTTTCTGTGGTGTGTGTTGTTGTTGTTTCTATTCTCAACCTTAACCACTCGTTTAAAATCGCGACCATGATCGCAGGAAAGATTTGTCTCCTTGGAAAAGTCACATTCAGCTTAGTTGAATGGGAACATCATGTTTTATGAGACAGGAAAGCACTAAATGATTGTTTGAATTGGCACAGTTTCTCAGAGTGAGGATTCTTTGATTCATTCTGTCTGGAAAAGGTGTGGAATGCATGTCTTTCCTCATGGCACAGTTTTAAAGCTTCATTTGAAATGAAATACAGAGTCAAATCCCAGGTCAAATGTACGTTAGAGGGTCTTGAGCATGTTTCTCTAAATATGTGTCTTTGTTGTTGTAAATAAAGCTGCTGTGATGCAAGAAAATGTTTAGACTTGGTCTGTTAATAAGGTTGTATTGTATCGTATGCTATTCATCTCTTCTCATTCTTCTCAGCAGGAGCCTGTCTTGGCCTGCGATTCAGTGAAAAACTGTGACTGCTGGTAGGACTTTCTGAGTGCTCATTTCAAATGTAGTACATTTCAATACTGTGGAAAGTATTTAACTTTGTCTTATGTATTAGTTTAAAACGTTACTAGTTCCTCACCAACTGCTGCTGTTACACATGTCATGCTGTTGTTAAGCTCATATCTTTGCTGTTTGTACTGTAGATTATTCAGGTGTTCACGTTGTCATGTCTACCTCCTGTGTGTTTGAAATATGTTTCTCTTTTATTGTGCCTATCACACCCCCCTGTGTCCCAGAATGCCCCAGTCAGCTCATCCCTTATCTCCATCAGAAAAAGCTGCTGGCTGAGAAACGTCATGATATTCAATGGTCAGGGCCGCTGGGAAACAAAGGACAAAGATACAGTGATCAAAGCTGGGAATGAGGACACGCTGAAGCTGAAACGCTGATTTTAATTACATGTATTATGTCAACACATTTCACATGACTGTAAGAGTAATATTATTACATTTAAATAGTTTCAATTTAATATTATTGCTTTCAACTTAGCTAGTAGGCTACAGTTATGTGAAATGTGTTGACTAGATACATTTGGTTCAAGTCAAAGTTTCAGTTTTTCAGTGCAGGAGAGTCTGTAGCTACACCATATGATTTCATAATCTATTTGCATTTGTTGAATGATCAAATATTGATTTTGAGTTGAAGATGAGTTGATGATATATGAATTACTGATTTCCATGACAACCATAACAATAAGACATCTAAACAATCAAAGGTGACATTTGAGGACTATGATCCACAGGTCATTTCGGACTTCAGACTCTGCAGGATCTTATCAAAACCTTCTCTAATAATCATAACATTTATTACCCCAATGTATCAAAGGCAGCTACACCTCCCCATCTCTCTGGGTACAATCAAATGTATAAAAAGCCTAACATTGCTGTGGTTGGTCGGGTCTCTGGTCCAGTCTAAGGTGGGTCTAAGAACAAACAATGCCTCTAAATTCAACATTTGTATCATGATGATCTAAAGAATGGTAGCTCTCTTTTGTTGATGTTGTAATTGACCCTGTTTACTTTTTGTCTCCCATAGTAATCCAGTGAATTTGTGAGAAGTGAATTCAAAATGACCAGGCTCACAATTCTAGCGGGTAATTAATCTTCACTTTCCAACTATAATATCTTTAATACTGTCATCCTGATCGTTCATAATATTATTTTTCTATTTTGGTGTATTTGTACAAACAACATTTACTTCTCTCTTTGTTTGCTTTTTGAAGCATATTCCA